GACTTTTGGGGGGCTTTGGGTCCATAGGGTTTTTGTTTGGTTTCTTGTATATCTCTTGGGATGTGTTCCCCTTTTGTACGCTTTCTAATAGATTTTATTTATAAAAAAATAAATAAATTTTCCATGTCTTACTTTTATGATGATTATGAGGATTAATATCTTAGTAGTACATATAATTATGAAAATTTAAAAACTAATTGTTAGAATTTCCTAATAGTTCTTAAATTTGATTCTTGTAATAATGATTATTCATTTCTTTTTAATAACAGTGTTTGAATGTGACCGAGTACGGTTAATGGATTATTTCGTTGGAGAGCAGCTTTGGGGAGGATTTTGACCATTGAGAATTTGAGAAGGGGTAGTCAGATTTTTATCAATTGGTGTTCTACGTGCAAGAGGGATGAGGAGATGGTGGATCATCTCCTCCTTCATTTCCCTAGAGGAAAGGATGGGTGGGATATGTTAAGTGCCATCTTTGGGTCCAGTGAGTAATGCCAAAGTTCGCGAGGAGTTTGATTGATGCTTGGGATAGTTGCCAAGTGCATTCCCAAGTCAGAGATGCATGGACTGCCCCCCTTTTTGGTGGCCTTATTGAAAAAGAGGAATAGGAGATCCTTTGATGGGGTGAAGTCTCCTTGGGCAGTGCTTAGATTTTCTATTATTTGTTCTCTATTCTTTTGGATCTAGGGCTCTAATTGAAAATCTTTGGAGATTCTTTTGGATTTTGTGGATAGCTTAAGGCTATAGGTTTTTATGCATCTTGTTCTGGACCGCGCCCCCCTTTTGGGCACTCTTTAATGAATACTCAAAAAATAATAATAATAATTTAATGGATTGTTAGAGATTTAAATGTTCAAAATGGATTTTGGATGCGTGTTTAGAATTTATTTGCATTAATATGATATTCTTGATCCTCTCTAATTGACATGTTCAGTAACATACATAGTAAGATTGAATAACGGAATGATTAAAATGGAAGTGTTAATTTAATGACACTTGAGGTATATAAATATATTAAATTAATGGCTATTTTATTAAAAATAAGAATAACATGATAATCCATTTACATGTCTCGCTCTTTTATATATATTTAAGACTAATCCTTCTAACTATTGTTAGTTAGTGATAAAACTTTATAGTTTGAAAAAGAAAATAGGATTCATGTAGCCAACTCCAGATGGAGGGCAGGCCTTGGCGCAATGGTGAGGTCGCTCCATTGCCACGTGGAAGTCGCCGGTTCAAAACGAGAAACAGCCTCCCCGCATGTAGAGGTGAGGCTAGAAATTGACGCTCCCTATAGAGGCAGGAGCTTCGTGCACTGGGCTCTTTTTTTTTTTTTTTTTTAAATGTAGCCGACCCCAAGTAGTTGGGAAAAAAGGTTTTGTTGAGGGGTTTTACGGTATCTGCAAATGATGATATCCGGAATGGGCTCATGTCTTTTTTCAAGCAACTCTTTGAGGAGACTGCTTCTTGGAGGCCTTTGCTTAATAGGATTGAGTTTGCGGTTATCTCGGATGGTGATAGAGACTGGCTTGAGATGCAGTTTGGGGAGGAGGAGGTGTTGGCGGCTGTGAGGAGCTGTGATGGGGATAAAGCTCTTGGACCGGATGGTTCTACTTTAGCTTTCTTTCAGCATAATTGGGAGGTGGTGAAAGTTGAGGTGATGGGGGCAATTGGTTCCTTTTTCCTACATGGATTGTTTGAGAAGAGTCTCAATGTTTCCTTTATTACTCTTGTCCCAAAAAAGGGTGGAGCAATTGAGGCTCAGGATTTCAGACCCATTAGCCTTGTTGGGGTTGTGTATAAAGGTTATTGTGAAAGTGCTAGCCATTCGACTGAGGAGAGTGCTTGATGGGGTAATTTTAAATTCTCAGAATGCTTTTGTTGGAAGGGCGTCAAATTCTGGATTCAGTGTTGATTGCCAGTGAGTGTATTGAGGCTAGGGCAAAAAGTGGAATTCCGGGGGTCGTGTTCAAATTAGATATTGAAAAGGCTTATGATCATGTCTACTGGGATTTTTTTGATGTATATGATGAAGAGAATGGGCTTTGGTCAAAAGTGGAGGGCGTGGATTTTTTTCTACATTTCAACAACATGGTTCTCTGTTTTAGTGAATGGATCACCGGTTGGTTTCTCTGCTAGTTCTCGAGGCTTGAGGCAGGGGGACCCTCTCTCCCCATTCTTGTTTATTATTGTTATGGAGGCTTTTAGGTGTTTGATAGGCAGGGTGGGGAAGCTTGGGTTTATTCAGGGATTCTCAGTGGGTAGAGCCCCCAACCAGTTAGTCATTTCCCACCTGCTTTTTGCTGGATGATACCATTGTCTTTTGTGATGCTAATCTTAGTCAGCTGAGGTATTTAAGGTGCATGTTGGCATGTTTCCAAGTTATTTCTGGTTTGAAGATAAATATTGGAAAAAGTGAGATTGTCCTAATTAGGGTGGTGGAAGATATTCGTGTTCTGGCTGATACGCTGGGATGTGGTGTTGGCTCTTTTCTGATCTCCTACTTGGGACTCCCTTTGGGAGCCTCGTCGAAAAGGGGGGAGGGTTACTCTTATGAAAAGCACACTCTCAAACCTTCTGACCTATTTTTTGTCACTTTTTCCGATGTGCAAAGATAGTTATTAGAAGACTTAATGTTACTCAGAAGTTCTTGTGGGGCGGTTTAGGAGATGAGTTCAAGTATCACTTGGTTGACTGGAGTAAAGTGCATTCCCCTATTAAAATGGGTGGTTTAGGCATTCGAAGGCTGGACGTGTTTAACAAGGCGTTGTTGGGAAAGTGGTTATGGAGATTTGGGAGAGAGAGGACCAAGCTTTGGAGGCGTGTCATCGCTTGTCAATACGGGGAGGGTGTTGGCGGATGGTAGTCTAGGGAGGTTAGATTCCCAAAGGGTATGGGCTCTTGGAAACTTATCCGTAAAGGTTGGGATGAATTTTCTAAAAGGATTCGGTTCAAGGTTGTTCAAAGCGGAAGAAATGTCAGATTTTGGGAAGACATATGGTGTGGGGATTTGGCTTTGGCCCGTACGTTCCCTCAAATTTAGCAAATTGCTATGTGTAGAGATGCTTTAGTTGCTGATTATTATCGTCTTGATAATGGATTGGTGACTTGAGATTTACAGTTTCGTAGACAGTTCCGTGATTGGGAACTATTGGAGGTTACAGATCTTCTGGCTTTCATCTATAGCCAGATGGTGGTCGGGGTGGGCATGGATGAGATAGTGTGGGTGGGTTCCTCGAGAGGGGTGTTCGAGGTCAAGTCCTTCTATTTTAGTAAGGTGGAGCTTCTTGCCCTGTTTTTCCTTGGAAAGCTATTTGGAGGACAAAAGCACCACTGAAGGTAGCTTTTTTCTCGTGGACAACTGCTTTGGGAAGCATCCTCACTATTGATAATCTTAGAAGAAGAAGTCAAGTTGTCAACTAAAATAGGTAACCTTTCCACCTAATATAGCGGTTGGAGAGAGAGAGAGAGAGAGAGCAATACAAATTGGGGAATAAATGTCTAAGGGGGAGAGAAACTGAAGAAGGCAGGCTTGAAGGAGGCAGCCGAAGGAGAAGAATACTAAAAAAGAATTTATAAACAAAACCCAGGAAAGTTGATCTCACTTTATATCTTTATATCAATTTGTGAATTAGTACCTTAATAAGTTGATTTAATGATAGTTAAGATCATTTTGAATCAAGTATAACTAAAAATCATTTTGAAAACTATTAAATTAGTCATGAGATGCGTATAATCTGATGTACTTGGATGTGAATGGTCACAAAATATAACCCTATCTTGTTATAATTCATCTAATCTACATCTTCATCTAAACAAGAACATTAAAGGAAGAAGTAGGAAAATAGTTTTGGTATTGCAATTCCATGTATGTGTACCATGTTCTCGAACTTTATTCCTGAACACAAATGGCTATCACTAAATTCATTTTGTGTACCGTGTTTTAGAACTTTGTTCCTGAACACAAATAGCTAGGGTATTAACCTTTATTGTTAACTCTGACATCACAACAGCAATGTGCTACTTTATCTGCAAAACATAGATAATATGGAGATAAAGTATGATTGGTTGCCTAAGGTTTCAGTCAAATGCTAGTAGACTATGTGGAACAGACATATGGAGTATATAAGCATAAGACCCTTCTAAAATGAAGTCATACAAAATGTTGTTGTCAGCAGGAGCTTGTGCAACTTGGCCTCTGGTTTATCTGAACGTTAGAAATGAGTTTTCCTTTAAAGATGTGGAAGAGGAACACATGACACCGTCACCTGGGTTAAGAGTACACCGTAGTGAAGAAAACGTATGTAAGAAGTTGAATCAGTCTTCTAGAACCTTTTTTTTTTTTTTTTGATAAGTCTTCTAGAACCTTATTTGAGACGGGGCATTAATCAAGATCAGATATATTCAAAACCAAGCTAATCCTAGATTATTCAGAGGAACACCAAGGTGGTCAACCTCAGCAATATCTTTGCATAGAAACACAAGCTGAATGGAGATATGGAAACTTTAAGCATTGAAAATAAGCAAAAGGGTGGAAGAGAAAATAATTTGATACATCCTTTCATCTTTTTTCTTTTCTTTCTTATCTTCCCTCTTCTTTTTCTTTTGTTTCCCAACTTCTGCTCTTTTAGCAGATCATTAGGCCAGTGCAACGGCTAACCATCGCTTTTGCTTTTTCTTTTTCTTTTTCTTGTTCCACAATCTCTCCCTTGTTATAAAGATTCTACCTTTACCCTTCTCCGGGAGTGTAATGCCAGCAAAAATGAAGATACTCTACCAAAGAAAGGATCAATCTATTTATCATTTACTGGGCTTGGTAAATTTACTCCTAAACATTGCAAAAATTTCCTCTTTCTTTTGTTTCTCATTTCCTTCCACTTTTGACTCAATTTTTTATTTTTCTTATATTTGATACTAGAAATCACATATAAATATAATCTTCAAACTTTGATGCAGAAATAAGATCATCTCTTGAAAGCCATGAAATAATGACATACCCATTAGATTGAACAAACGAAATGGTGACAGTTCAAATTTTATCTTTGGAAGAGAAACAAAAGCCCATGAAACAGCTCCCACCCAAGGCTCTGATGGTATCAATCGCAATTTGACCCAAAGTTCCCCATCAATGTCAAAATCTCGGACACCAACTGGCACGACAACAGGGATAATGCCAAATTTCAATGATAGCATTAACAGCATACGAGCACCACCAGCATAACGGAGGCCTATTTGGTATCTGATAACATCAACAACAGAGAAAAAAAAAAATAAAAAAAAAAATAATGAAATACTCTTTGGTCAACAGATAATGAGTTCCAAAAGTAGCAATATATATATAATATAGACACACACAAACACAAATTCTAAGCACATCCCACTTTATACCAAGGAGGGGTGAATTTTGGCAATTAAATTTTATAAACTGGATTGATAAATACCCAAGGAAAACCAAGAGAAACAGAATCTCCAATTCGTTCTGCTTACCGCAACTCATTTTTATCTGATTTCAATTATTTTGTTCTCCTTCTAATCTCTCATGGCATGTTACCATCATTGCTCTGATCCTATTCCTATTCTTTATTACTCCTACCACTTAAGACTGGAGTATCTATTTTATTGTATGAAACTTACTACCACTTAAAATGTGAAACAACACAACACAACATGTACTGCTCTTTTCTCGTTTTTTGTCTAAGCGGTTCAAAAAGACAAATGCAGATCAAAATCAAATTAAATTGATACAATCTTGAAGATTATCAAGTCAAACCAAACAACAAAGTGCTACTTTGAAGGATGAGCATAAAACAAGAGCTGAAGCAAACAAGAATCTGATTAAAAAAAGAGCAGCAGAATTTCAAGGAATGACTTACTGCAAATCATTGACTCGGCGAGAAGTTCTGCGCTCAACGTTCCTAACTGACAATGGTTCATCACCCAACGAGAACTGCTTAATTTCAACTCTTTGTACATAGTCAGGTTTCTTAAGATTATCAATGACCGGCTGAAGCAACCCAATGATCCAATTCTCAATCCCAGGTTTGTAAACCTTCCACAACTTCCCCAAAACCATATTCACCCATTCAACTGATTCTTTCCTCTGCAAATCCTTCTCGAGGAATAAAGAAAAACTGGTGGGTACCTGTGGCCAAATACCAGGCCGATTCCCATTGCCCGGTTTGCTATTCCTCTTCCTGGAAGTCCATAGTTTATCGAAAACAACACCAACAAAGAAAAAGAAGACAAACAAGCCAACAATGTTCCGATTAATGGGAGGTGAGGGGATAGGGTGTATAACACCCAGCTGAGTCCTCAGCTTATCGACAATAGGGTCTTCACTGAAGTTAGTAAAATTTGAACCCATTTGAATGGAGTCTTGAGAAGCAACACCCACTTCTCCTTCATCTAGTTCATCCGATAAAATCTTCCGCTTCAGTACGAAGCTTTTTATGCCCTGTCTTGCAGCAGCCGAAGCCGGATTTTTGGTGAATTCTATGTTAAAACTATGTCTACTTCCGGAACTGGGACTGGAACTGGAATTGGAATTGGTTGGGATCATACATGCCCGAAGAATAATCCATTTTGGGCGAGAATTGTTGGACGAAAGAGTCATTCCCACAACCTTTTTTCTTCTTCTTCTGGAACAAGAGCCAATCAGTGCGAAACTCCATTTCCTTTCTTCTTCGGGGATACTAGTAATTTCATGGATTTTAGGTGAAGAAACTTGAAAGAAATCACAGGCCGTGCAGGTTGATTGTAAAACAACCATTTATTAAGAACCCTACTACACTACTACATAAACCGATCTTTGATATAGGGAAATTGAAAACAACCATTTATTGAAAAACAACAATGATTTAGGGAAATCGAAAGCAACAATTGGTAGAACATGGGCGTGAACATTCAGATTGGTAGACTTGAATAGACTTAACCTTGTTGTGTGTGTTGTGTTGTTAAGAACCCTACACTACACAATCGTTAGTTCAATCGAAATTGTGAATGAACAAAGATTGAAGAAGACAAGTTAAAGTTTAACTACCCAACTTCATTCAATAAAAATCAAAACCGTGATAGCTTTCGATGAAGATGAGTATTATGTGTGTATGTGTATATTATACACACGCAGACAAGAAATTGATGAGATAAAAATTCCCAGAAGATAATCAAAGCCGTGATACGAATTATTGTTGTTAGAGAGAAATGAGTGTTTAAATCAAGAAGAGGACTGAAGGATGATTGTTCGTGGTAACTAACATACATTACGCGTATTTTGATTTTAGAGACACGCAGAGCTACTTTCAAAGCCTCAAAAAAATTGGAAACAACGTGGATAATAGTACTACTACTACCTTCTTTTTATAACGACACGTGGATCGTATCAATTTGTTGACACGTCTAACACTATTTTCGTGTCCGCAACTTAGGCCTCATAGCACGGTTCTTGGGGAACTCTATTCTCAAAATAACCATTTTATTTTGTAAATCCTAGGCAACACGTAACACTGGACTAATTTAATCTAAATAATTGTTAAGATTTTTTTGTAATATATTATTACAATTTTACGGGAACATTTTTTTCATTGAATAGTCAGAATTAAATTCGCCCACTAAATGTTAATGGGCTGGAATTATCAAATAATTACTCAAATCAAACATAATTACAATACAAAGGAATTCAACTGAAATAAATTCAATGTTGGTCCAAAAAAAAATTCCATTGAAATGGATAGCGGTAAATAGATATAAAAAATAAATAAATAAAAATAAAAAAAGAACAAAACCCATAATTAGAACGTCGTTATTGAAAGCTTAAATATAACCATTCGTAAGTGCACGAATCTTTGCATATAGAACTTCTTGTAGGGGTGTCATACCCAAGAGACTTGTATTAATTAAGTTATTAACAGACTTCTTAAATTTTAAATTAATTTAAAATAGGACAAACAAATTATGATGGAATAATAATTTAATCTACTGAACAAAAAAATTAAATTAAGCATTTGAATTAAATGAGAAAAATATGAAAAAAGAGACTAGGGACATGATTTCACCACTAATATCACACTATCAGTTGGTTACATCAATTTATTAGAGAGATATGAAACATGCAAAAATTGATTAGGGCCAAGGATTTTCCTTTAAGTACTTAGGGCTGCCTTTGTCTAACAAGAACTTAAGAACAGGTGATTTCAGATCTTTGATGGATAAGATTAATGCTAAACTGGCTCACTGGAACACAATCAATCTGTCTATTGCAGGAAAAGTAGAAATGATTAGATCAGTTCTATATTCATATTTGTATCATTGGGTTTTTGGATTTAAGATCCCTTAGGAAATTAAAATTAGGCTTAAAAGAAGATTCAAACAGTTTTTGTGGAGTGGTAAACAGGATGTAAAGAAGATGTCTCATTTAAAATGGAGTCAGGGTTACTCTACCTGTTTCAGAGGGAGGTTTTAATATTAGAAGAATTCAAAAGATTGATGTAGCTGCAAAAATGACTCTCTGTTGGGATTTTGTGCAGAAGAAGGACAAATTGTTGATTAAATGGCTTCATGATGTGTATTTGCAAAGAGGTTCTTTTTGGCATGGGGTTCCAAAGTGCAGTGATTTAGTGATTTTGAAACAGTTGATAGGGGTAAGACAGATGGTATTGGATAATGCTGAGTTTAAGATTGGGGATGGACTGGTTTTTAAATTGTTAACAGATCCTTAGTGTGAGAATCAGTCACTAATCCAGAAATTTAGGGCTACTAGACAAGTTGACAAAAATCTTATGATAGCTGATATTATAGTTGATGGTAGATGGGATATACTTGCTTATTTGCCTGAGGAAATAAAAGATGTTCTTTAAAGGCTTAATATTAATTTTGGGACAAATCTTATTGTTTGGAAGCATTGTAAATTCTCTTTGAAAGCAGCTTGGAATGCATGCAGATATTCAGGTCAAGTACAGAAATGGAGTGGTTTAAATTGGAAAAATTGCAGACCTAGAATTGTTGTGGTTGTTTGTATTATTATACACAATAGAAATGTGTCTTTGGTGAATTTGCACAAGTGTGGGATTGTTTTGACATCTATTTGTCACAATTGTTGGAATAATATGGACACAAATGATCATTTATTTTACACATGTCCTTATGCTCAGGCAATTTGGCAGGAACTGTTCTGTCTGCTGCAAATGGATTTGCGAGTTTGTGATTCACTGATGCAAGTTGTGGACTGGTTTTGTTTACAAATTTCTAATAAATCTATTAAGAAAAAGGTTTTGAGTGCTATTTTTGCAATCACTATTTGAAAGATTTGGATTGTTAGGAATGTTGTTCTTCATGATGGATGCAAAGATCAAGCTTCTTATGTTGCCAAGACTATAGTTTGGGAAGTTTTGTCTTACCTCAAGCTTAGTCTAGAAGATTTTATACTTGTGTTTTAGTTGTATTATGCTAATGTATTCTGTTTTTTACTCTAGTATATACTAGAAATGGGCTTATTCTAGCTCTTGAATTGTAAAAGGAGGTATACCTTCTTATGCACTTGTACTGTTTATCTTTTGTATATAAAATCATCCCATTCAGGGAAAAAAAAAAAGAAAAAAAGAAATGAATGAAACATGCATAAAAAATTAATCATGGCTACAAACACATATTAATTCAGTTAGAAGATAATATAAAATTAAAGCTAAACATATATGAACTATCTTCGATTAGCATAAACCATCAACCTAACTACTCTACTCTAGGGTGTAATATGGTCTATCTTTTCTAAGTATAATCCATAAAACCCTAAAATTATATTCAATGAAAAACCACTGCATAACTATCTCATTCACAACTACAAGAAGTAGATGAGTTATGCTCAATCACAAGCATCAAATACCTAAGGCAATATAGAAAATACTTTGCAATTGGATTAAAACTTTAAAAACAACTTCTATTGAAAAGTCAAATAAGAATCATCTAGGTTACACAATCATGCATTAAAAATATTGTTCTCCAATAAACAAATACAATCAAACCAATAGTGCTAAGATAGGGCTACATCACAGCCCTAGCAAAGCTTTTAGCTGCTCATAACTGGAATGGACTTCTTCATGGTTGGGGAGAGCATCTTCGCCGCCATAGGTCGATCCCTTCTTTCTTATGCATTATTCTTCTCTGATTTCAGCCTCTTGCTGCTTTTTATATGATGATGATCCCCTAATAGTGTAGAGAACTCTTTTTAAATAAGAGAAGAATAACCCCAAAGTTCCCTTTTCCAAATAGGAGATATATGAAAATTCTGCTAAACTTGGACTCCAAAATTCGTTCTGACTTCCAACCCAATTTTGACATGGTAAACATCATTTTCACAAAATTTACGTGAAATACAAAATTGTAGATTTTCGAATTTAATTTCAACAAACGTGAAAATGAAGTCATTTTGATGCTTACATAAAGAGATACATACAAAATACTAAAATGGGTTCAAGTTCCTAATTTTGGAGAAAGTTTCCTAGTTGGAGAATGATTCTTTATTTTCTTCTTGTTTCCATTCTCATCAGCTTGTGGGCTTCTCTTGGGCTCTTTTATAGGTCTAATTGTTATAGGTCTAATTGGACTTGGATCTTCATCATTGCTCAGCCCAATGGATGTGGTCTTCCCCTAACCTCTAAAATATCATCTTTTAGAGCCCAAAATCACTAGTTTTGACTGATATTATAACTAAGGCCCTAAAATAAAGAAAAACGCTAAAACAACATAAAAGTCACAGATAAAACTATTACTAAGAGAATAAAACACGCAAGTTAAGGGTTAAAACGTATAACATTTAGCACCTAACAGTCGTCACTCTAGTCCTAAAACATAAAAGTTACTTCTCTTGGCAAAAGTTACAACTATCCATCACTAATTTTAGGGTAAAGTGCAAGAAATACTCCAATTTTATACAAAATGTGCAACTAGCCATGTTCAATTGTGCAAATAAGTACAGTTATTGATGAAATGCCTAAAATGCCCTTATACTAAAACTAAAATTAAAAAAATATTATAGCGACCCACTTCACTACATAGTATGATATTATTCACTTTGAATCCAAGCCCATACGGTATGTAATACCCCTAATTTCTAGAGATTTATTTAAGTGCTTTAATTGTATTTTTATTTAATTATGTGGCTATTTGATTATTTTCTTTTATATTTAATTATGTAATTATTTGATTATTTGTTTTTAGTTGTTTCATTTATTTATTTTTTGTTTAATTTAAATTTATTGATGTGGCTAATTGTGTATGTGCATTCTTTTAATTAATTTTATGTGTGATGTGTTTATTTAATTAAATGGCTTTTAATTGTTTAATTGTTTAGTTAAATGATTTGTTTATTATTATTTTTTTAAAAGGTTATGGATTGGGCTTGTAGTTCTTGGACCAACTAGATAGGGCTTGGACTATTTAAAAGGGATCTTTTATGGATTGGATATTGGCCTATGGGGATGAGTGTGTATACATATATATATATATATATATATATATACATATATGTAGTCTAGGAAAAGAAAAGAGAAAGAAAAGAATAAAGAAGGGCGGGAAAGAGAGAGAGAAAGGCATGCGAAAGACAGAGAGAAAAAGAAAGCTAGAGGAAGAAGAAGAAGAAAGAAGATCCGTTCGTGGGTAGATCGGATCAGCGGAGTGAACGGTGGTAACCCAAAGGTTGCCGACGTTAGAGAAGAAGAAGGAGGAGGAATGAGTTTAACTTTCGATTCGAAAGCTTAAGGCAAGTCCTCTATTCTACACATCTCCCTTAAATCCTGTGTTCTGTATGTCTCTAGTTAACATTAGGGATTTGTAAAATCTGTGTTCATGTTTAAATGGATCTAGAATATAGGTTTTGTGAATATATGTTCATCTTAGTACATGTTGAATGTTTTTGGTAAAATAAAGGCTTAGATCTACTTTAAACCGGTTTATGCATGTTAAATTGATGTTAATTCGTTCATGAATGATTACGCAACTTAGTAACATGCTTTAGGACCCTTAACAATGGAGAACAAGGCTAAAAGTTGGACTTTTCGAGTTGTTTCCCGAAATAGCGCTAGAGCACTGTTTTATAGGGATCGAGCGCCCATTTTTAGGAAATAGCGCTTGAGCGCTGTTTGGCGCTCGAGCACTAATGTGTATATTTAGGTAAACATGTTTCGTTTGGCACCGAATTGATTATTTAAGGGACCAAACAATAAATAGGGATTTAAGAACAATGATATGTGAATTAAAAATGTATGATAGTAATGATGCATGTTAATGGGATTAATTCATTTATGAATTCGTAAATTTAATCTT